AATATACAGTCCACTATCTTACTGAGTTCGATTTCGAACTCGTATATTTTGATACTTGGAGCAATTCATTTGAAATTATGTATATTTCATCTTTTAGGACATTGTATCAAAGACTAGGACATCGCGTCTCAGTACCGTTTCATACACTGGGTCACTACTTTTATCGAACTTTTTCTATGTTTTAAAAAATTCATGACATATTTATTACCGAAAAAAGTTTTTATTAATTTCTTAAGTCTTTTGCACAGGCATTAAAAAAAAAAACCAACATTTTAAGCATTTGTATGCTTAAAAAAAATTATAATATCCAAACCATCGTCATCGAGTGTTTCATAATTGGGTCATTTACCTTAACAACGCGCGTGCTCATCACTTGACTATATCCAGGATACTCACTGGTCACTACTGGTTGCGCTTAATTTGCGCTTGAATTATTATATGATACTTTTTAATAATAATTAATGGTACCAGTAAGCGCCCTGGCTTATGTGGTAATTGTCGCTTGTCTTATTACTTTATTTATTGTAAAATAAGTAGGCTACCAGTAAGCACCCCGGGTTGTGTGGGGATTCGCGCTCGTCTTATTACTTTATTTATTGTAAAATACGTATGCGACCAGTAAGCGCCCCGGGTTGTGTGGGGATTGGTGCTTGCCTTATTACTTTCTTTAATATAAATAATTGAAGCGACCAGTAAGCGTCCCGGGTTATGTGGTGATTGGCTCTTGTGATAGTTCTCACATGTTTGCCAGTCACATTTGAGAGCACCGTTGAGAAGCTCTGGAATGCCCTCTTCTTCTCTGCCTATTCTTCTCCAACACTATAGGTTGCTTTGTTAGTGACAGTAACTTATGTTACTGACCGTCACTTTCACTACGGGAATCCTTTAAACACAACGCTGGAAGAGATGTAGTAGTATAAAAATGTAAGGTAATGTTTGCCAGCACAAGTAAAATAACTATATAATATATGAACCATGTTATGGTAGCATTGGTCAACATTAGTAGTACAACTGTATAGGATTAAGTATACATACCTTAATGTCAGTACAGTTTAATATATAAAAAAATAATTTTATATGATGGTGTTTGCTATTTGCTATGTGCCTATGTCAGGTGGCGCTGCACAGTTAGGCAAATCGCCAAAAAGCTGGCTAAAAATGAAAAAATTAAGTAGTTGATATAAAATTCCGTACCCAGGGGTTTTTAGGGTTGCTGATTACAAATTTCATACCAAACATATAAAAATTCACCCCCTTCACCCCTTAAGAACTACCCCTTGCATGAAATATAACATAATTTATAAAGTTACCAAGTTGTAAACCATCTCAGTCAAAAATTTATAGCTAATAATATGCCTATAATTTAGAGCTATAATTATAGCTATAACTACCCTCCTGACAAATCTCACCTAAGATCTCATCTTATATCTCACGTGATTTCTCACCTGAGATCTCATGCCAAATTCTCATCTGAGATCTCAGGTGAGATTTTGGAAAGAAAAATAAATAAAAAAATTTTGTGCAACAATTATAATTTATACATCAATAGAATGATTACCTAAAATATCAACAGATATAGGAAAAA